AATCTGTTTGGATTAGTATGATTAGTTTTTGTTTATGGCTATCATATATACTGATATTGAGACGCATCAGGCCATTAAGAAACGAACTCAAGTTATCTGTAAAATACAACTAAATCTCAAAACCAGATGCCTGGACCCAAAAATAAAACAAATAAAACAGCACACTTCTAAATTACATGGAGGAATCAAGGAATTTTAGTGAGGCAAAGCTGAACCAGGAAAATGTCAAGTGCACAGAATTAAGAATTGCTTGCCGAGCCACCCTTGGCTACAACCTTGAGTATGTATTCAATGTTCTATGTAATGCCTATTGTATTTGCTGTATACAATCTTGTGTTATAGTGCTTTACAGATCATATCATAAACTAAAAAATTATTAATAAAAACATCAAATACCAATTAGACAATATCATCAAGAACTGGGGTCTTCTCCTAATTTGATTTTACCTGAGTTTTTGAGGTGCTATTGACACATATCAATTGCGATATTAAATGATTAGAGTTTATTCTCTCAAATTGTTAATCCCCATATAATTCAAGATTGTCTTCTTGTGCTCCTCGTGTAAATCACAAATGAAAAATAAAAATAGTAACATAGAAACCGACAAAACTCCATCATCGTCAATGTATGCTATAGCTCCAGAAAAGGGTGAGTTTGGCCCCAGGATAGAGAGAAAGGTAAAAGATTTGAATTAATCCAAGTCATATCCATGCAGTTTTCTGTATTTACCAACATTTGGGAATCTTGGCAAGAGAGACAAAAGATAGTACGTTGTCCCAAAAAAAAAAAAGAAAAATATAAAAGCAATAAAAACCTAAAAACCCAACCTAACAACCCGATGTAACCAAAAAATCTTAGAGAGAACAAGGACTCTATCTACGCCCGAAGCTGTGGGCGTGGTACACCTGATCTTGGCGGTTGTGTAGTGGTTTGACGTTTTCAATGGCTATATAAAAGATCAATCAAGTAAAATAGGGGCATATCAACGCCATTCAAAATTTATGCATTTTGTCTGATACAAACAGATAGAGAAAGTGTTGACGTTTGATTTTGGACGCCAATGACTCACACGTATAAAGTACTAAGAAGGTCTTAGAAATTATATATAATGAATCCATGAGATTTGAATATGGAGCTGAGATTATATATGTTGCAGAAAACATAAATAATAGACTAACAAAAGAGGTTTTTATAGTGGTTCAGATGTTCAAACAAACGACTCCTATATCCACTGTTATTTTATTAATCTCTGACTATTTCTATGATATTGCTTATAAGGCATACAAAAATGAAGAAATACAGTATTTACAGAGAAAAAGAATTGAGCTCAAATATATGCTTAGCTCTTATATGTCTAGCCTCTCCTTTTCGGGAAGAGAAGTGTCAATTTATACACCTCTAAACTCAATGTAATGAGTGTTTTGCAAGTCGTCTTGACATATAGAAGGCTCTCATCCATTCATCTCTTGAAATGAGATAGAGTTGGTATGAATATCTTTGAGGAGATATGGGTTTGATAGCTAGTACAAAAAGATATTTATTGGGCTAACATACGCGTGACTTTTTAGACATAACAGAAGGTAAAAGAGAAGGCATGGATATTTCTAAATAACTGCTCTATATGGATAAAGACATGGGTTAGTTTGCTTGTAAAATCTGCATTTGAAATGCAAAATATAAAGACATGGATTGGATTGTTTTAAAATTTTTGCATTTTAAGCTTTGATTTCAAGTTTTACAATTACTGTATGGAAAGGCATATACCAATTTTAGTTTTACTTATATATTATAACTTGTATAGCTTTAGAAAGTAATAAATTTATCCCTCTTTTTTCAATTTAATTTATTTTAATTTAATTAACAAAGGTCAAACTGTTAGAGTCATGAAAGTGACTCTATTTTGATGATAAAAATACCCCAAGTGTGATTAAATTGAAGTATATTGAGACAATTAAAGAATTTATGAATTTATTCACGAAAATCGCTTCCTAATATTTTTCTTATGAATTTAACATGTTTGGAATTATTTTGGAAAGGATATGAGTTGATATTAGGTTGTGGTTTATGGATTACGGGTGATTTTGTCTCATTTATGTTGTTTAGGAGGTAAACTGTCATATTTATAAGGGTTGATTTTGTTAATTTTCAATCATGTAGGGACCAAAGAAGTTTTGCAACTTGTCTATAATATGAAAACGAAAGGTCACATACAGGGGAGGCGTTGTTCATCCATTTTCCGGCGATGCTTTATCTTCCTTTCCGGCGACCTCCGGCGACGGTTCGTCTCCCTCGTGCACAGATCTTCATCGTCCCAGATCACCACCGTGAGAGCCATCATTGCCGCCGCGATGCTTCATCTTCCCACCGCGACTTTTCGCATTCCAGCTGAGATTTCGTCATTTTCCGACGATGTTTGGGCTCCCTGAAGGTTGATCTCCCTTCCCCATGGCCGGATCCACACATCCTACGCTTCAGCCGCCGCAAAAACCGTCGGAATTCGCCATTTAGCCACCGCGACTCTTCATCTTTCAGCCCAGATCTTACTCATTTCCGATGACTTTTCACCTCCCCAGGACCTGATCTGAACTCCCCATCATCAGAGCTTTCCATCGGTACCTTCGGATCCCATTTCTGCCACCATTTTCTGGAAGACCCGTCAGAAAATTAACGTTTTCTGACGAGTGCGGCTGTTCATATTCCGGGCTGTCCGTTGGTTGTTTTCGCCCCTTCTTCACATCATATCGCTGTCGGTTACCTCTTCTCCGTCATGATCAGCTTCATTTCCACCGTTTCAGCCTCCGTCATCACCACCATGAGCGGCTAAGTTCTCGGTTGTCTGTTACGGCATAGACGAGATCGAGATTGACTCCACGACTCTGCTCATTAGCTCTCAGCTAGTTGGATGAGCTCGATTGTAGGACATTTGGTAGTATTGTGCTTCGGATTATATTTGTTTTCGTTTCATGATTGATTTCGATACTTTAATATGATTTGGGGCATAACTTGTGATAAATATTGTTGTCCATTGTGATTTAATGTTTTCATAGAACTTGTTGAATGATAAACGTTGGTTTGAAATAATTAAATGATGAATATTGTTTTTCATTACTTCGCATCGATTGTAATTGAGTTGTGTTCGGATTTAATTTAATTTCTACTATTGTTGCATTTATTGTGAAGTTGGTTGATTGAAATTTACGCGTTGACAAATTGTATTTGTTAATTGCGTACCAACTAGTGGTATTGCCTTGTAGCGTTTATCGGCGTTCAATGATAGTCTTTAATCAATCAAACTTGAGTAATCGGGTGAAACAGGATAGATTATACCTAGAGTGCCGGGAAGCCACTTCATTGATTTACCTTGCCTTGTAGGTTTAGGGAATCATAGAGGGTGGAGGAGAATTGTGTGAGTCGGTCTCGTGTCGAACCAAGATCGTAAGTCTTTATTAATTTTAATTTCACGTTTTATTATTTATATTTAGTTTGTTTAGTTTAATTAATCAAATTGTCAATCTCATTCCCGCTACTCAAAATACATTAGGTTGTTAGTCTTATTCCCTGTAGATTAGACTCTGTTTACCGCTAACTATGGTATTTAGGTTTAATTTTGTGACTGTAACGACCGGTTCGACACAAACTTAAATGAAAGAAAATTTAGAGAAAGAAAGAAAGAAGCAATAAATAAAAAAATAAACTAAACACTTAACCTTTTTTTTTTTTTTATGATTATTTTCTTTCTGGTTGATCGAAACTATCTTCCATAGCTTGAAAATAATTTTTCTCTTAAAAATAGAATTTCAAACTGTATTATAAACACGTTCAGTTAATTAATGAGAAAATAGCTGGTTTTGTTTACATAAACTTTCACTTAGAGCTGTTTCGGCTTTAGTGAGTCTTTCAGTGGGTCCAATCCGTTAATTTGTACTGGTGCTGTGGTCACTTTCAGAAAACAAGGTTGATTCGCTACTTGCATGAGGGAATCTCGAAAGAAGAGAAGGTGGTGGTTTACGGACATGAATTTCCAACTTCATAAGTATTATTAAATATGAAAATAGATTTTGAAATTTAATTTCTACACTAACCAAACAAAAAGTAATCATTTTTAATGAAGATTTTTTTTTTTCTTTTTAGTTTTTTTTTTATCAATCAATAGTAACGAATATGCATGATATCATCCTTCCAGTTTCATGATTTTCTTTTGTCATTAAGAAAATAGAGGCTACATTATTATTAGATGGGAATAATATAGTGCTACCGCACGGAGTAGAAGTAGTTGCTTAATTACAATGCTAAGTACAAGTTCAGTTTTGATGCATTATATTCAATCAAGAAATGAATGGAGAACAATAACCATATGATTAATTATCTGAAATCACATTATTAATATAGTAAATTAGTAATGTATCCTTCATTCTTAACATAATTAATTTCTAAATTTTACCGAGTTAGTCAAAACAGCCCATTTGACTCTTTGAGTACAAGTTAACCGTTTCTTTTTCCTTTTTTTTTTTTTTTTTCTTTCTAATAATTGTCAATTTCACTCTTTGGACTATATGTGTAAGAGAAGCTTAATTAGGAAGTGCAAACTAGGTGGGTTTTAATCTTTAAATTGACCTATTCCAAGCAGCCAACCTAGCATTTGATCTCATATAATAAAATCATGGAATTAAACAAGTTTTAAGTTCACTTTTGATGGATTATATTTAATCATGAAATTAATGAAGTACCATTAGGTTAACCCTTTTTTTTCTAATAATTGTCAATTTGGCATATAAAGAGTCTTATAATGTTAGGACATTGACAAGATTAAATATGTTTATTAAAGTTTTCATAATGTTTGGCATCTGAATATTAAAAATTTCCTTATTCAACTTTGAATTAAACAAAACAAGATGAATTAAAGGCAATTTAAACAAAAGAACAGATGTGTCTAACAAAACAAGTTTTTATTTCACTATTAGGCTTTCAAAACTTTGGAGCAGCCGGTTGAATTGCTGAATTAATTCTTGTTAAGAACGCGAAAGTTGAACCTTGAAAGGTTTACATCCCAGAACATGGCAATTTCGTCTCCTTCCTCCAAGTTCCTTCTTTTCACAAAATCATTACCCCAATTTTTAATGAAAACATAACTGCTGTTGGAAGATCGCCATTTCTTCAAAACCATCTCATTGTGCACAGAATCAGTATCATAATCCCAAACAGCAACTCTCAGACCCTCCCCACTTTGAATTTTGTCAAAGTTATCAAGGCTCATGAGAGGCTTAACATACTTATCGATCAAATCTTTTGGTAACAAAAGCCTGCTCTGATGGCCCAGATCACTTTTTGTAAGCTTCTTCATGATGTTCCATGGATTATAAGGATGAAGCCAAAGTTTTGTAGAGACACCCTTTCTTCTTTCTTCGTCCTCTTCTCTGGGGCTGTAGCGTTTCATCTCCATAATCTTGGAAGCTACCTCTCTTTTGTTTATAACAGCCTCAGAAAAGTCTTTAGGGGCACGTGCCGTTGCTTCTCTTGTCTCAGTTGGCCAAGGCCAAGCTTTATCGAGCAGCGTTAGTTCTGTTGAGAAATGATCTCCGCCGTCTGATTGTGCTGGAGAAGTGGCAGCAATCTGAGAACTGAATGGAGCGTAGGCTATCTGTTGGCTAACCATGATTGACGAATGATGATTTTGATTCAGAACCTTAAGGTTTTGAGAGAGAGAGAGAGAGAGAGAGAGAGAGAGAGAGGCGAGAAAAAGGGATTTTTGAAGGGCTTGATTTGTGGTGGTAGCAAGGAGCAAGTTTCCATATATAAGGTAAAAAGACCTACTGAAAGTTAAAAGATATTAAAGGCAAGTTTGAAAATTTTGGTTCTGTCTCGCACGAGTGGCAAAAATATTAAACTTTATCATGGATTATCAGTAATCATAATTGGAGAGAGAATTAGAGTGTATATTATTATCTTGATGTAGCACGCTTCATGTAGATAAATAGATTCATTTAGTTTACAAGGTAAAAACATGATAATTTGGGTTAATTTTGAGACAGATTTAATATTAAAACCCAAAGAAAAATAAATTCTTCTTTAGCACTGAAATCCGAAAAAATATTCTCCAGTGTTTTGCTTTGCCATCTAATTTAATTTAAATATGACCTATTAAACAGGTGCAGCCTTACAATTAGGTATAAGGTCTAAACTAGATTACTAGAACCTGCGTCACATTTCCACTTTTGAGTCAGTGTGTTTTGTGTCTTTAGTGGGAGACAAATCCTTCTCGGGGAGATGAAGCTTTTCACACCTTCGTCTTTGTCAATTTTGTCAGGTTCTTTGAAAGCTTACAGGCTTTGTAATTTGAATGAAGTAAAGTCACTGGCAAAACACCCAAAACGTGGGTTGTATAACTCTAAACTCAGCTATTAAAATAAAAAACCAACATTTCAGATTGAAAATCCAAATATTCTCTGCGTTTAGACCAAAAATCAGGTTGATAGACTAAAGATGACCTTTCCATTGTCATGTTGAAGAAGGACAAATAGATTGAAAATTCTATAATTCAACTCTTAAATTTGGCTGTCTTTCTAGAATCAAAATTCTACAAAAAAGATGGCTATCATGAAACTGACCGTTGGATGTGAAGATCTTGCTTTTAACAACAATGCTCTGAAATTTGAACAAAAACAGAGCAAAATTCACCGTTAGATTGTCGTCGGAATAACTTAGTGTGATAAGTCTCTCTCTCTCATTTCTACCCATTTTTAATCGGTAAACAGTATCCACTTTTTTACTGTTCACCCACTCAAAAATCAACTAAATCCTCATGACTAGGGAAGTATATGAGCCGAGCCGAGCCGTCGGCTCGTGATAAACAGTACCAAGCTCGAGCTCAACCTCAATCGAGCTTCAGTATTTGTGTTCGAGCTCGAGCTCGAGCTCGGTACTGTAAAGGTGTACTTGAGCTCGAGCTCGCTTAATCGAGCTCAAACCAACTCAATATTAAAATATTATAATTTCTTTTTCTTCCTTAATTTTCTCTTTCTTCCTTTCACCTATCACGCTATCACCTCATTTTTTTTTTCTCTTTCTCTACTCATTTTCTCTTTCTTTTTTCACCTATCACCTCGTTTTGTCACCTCATCTTTTTTTTTCTCCCTTTCTCCCCGTCCTCTTCTCTTTCTGCCTTATTCCCTTCTCTTTTCTTACTTCTTCAAATCTTCTCCTTCGTCTTTTTTTCTTTTCTTTCTCTCTATTCTCTTCTCTTTCTTCCTTACTTCTTCCATATTCTCTTCTATACTCTCACCTCCTCTTCTCTTTCTTCTTCTACTCCTTTAGATTTTCTCCTTCATTATTTTTCTTTCACATTCTAAGCTTGAATGGAACTGAGGATGAATGAAGGTGAAAGAGAAGATGAATGAAGTTGGATTTTTGAAGGTGAAAGAGAAGATGAATGAAGTTGGATTTTTGAAGCCGAAAGAAAAAATCCCAAATGGGTTTTGAGTTTTTGTTTGAGCTTTGAAATAGGTTTATCGTTTTTGTCTGTGAATAGGTCATGGGTGTTGTTTGTAATCTTGACAACTTAAAAATAAAACTTTTAAAATCTTACAAATTGACCCCCAAAGCTCGTTTAAGCTCGCGAACTCGACGAGCCGAGCTCAACTCAAATCAAACTCGGTTCATTACTGTTCACGAGCTGCTCAACTCGACTGGTTTAGAGTCGAACCCGAGCTTATGACAAGCCGAGCTCGTGAGCTACTTGGCTCGTGTCTCATCCCCATGTCATGACTATCCTGGACATCATATTCAACAAACATTTGTTAGTACATTTGTGAAAGATGCTGAATCCAAACCATCATGATTCAAGTAATAAAGCCATGATTCAAGTGGTAAAACCATCATTATACTGAAGCTTTCACACCACCATCTTGCATGGCACTACTTTCTATGCTTTTTCACTGTTCATGATTTAATATTTCATATCACGAGTCACGACTTCTTAGTAATTTTTTCTAGATCATACCTGGTCGTACATGGATAAAGCAATGGGTTAGTATGCTTTACAGCCATGCCCTGCTGTACTTTGCAACATTGGAATTAAATCTGGGTATGTCTATCTTCTCTAGTTACAACTTACAAGTTAATTTGTACTGGTACTGTGGTCACTTTCAGAAACTACTGCCAACAAGGTTGAATCGCTACTTGCCTGAGGGAATTTCGAAGAAGACAAGGTGGTGGTTGCACTGTAGGTGCAAAGGTTTCTGAGTTTCAGACTTCTTGGATTAAATTAACCAAAAAAAAAAAAAAAAAAGAGCCAAAAGACTTTTTTACCCTTTTCTCTGAAAGAGCCCTGGACGGCGTTCGAGCTTTGGGTGTTTACTGACTTTTTCGGGCGTGTCCTCTCCTTGAGTCAAGGCCTCATTAAAAATATATAGATAGAAATTCTTCCAATTTAATCCTTTTTTATTTCCTTGAATTAAAAAAAAAAAAATCATTTATTTCTTTAAAATAAGGGCTACTTTAATATTATTGTTTCCTCATTATATATAATTAGTGATAAAATTTATTTATCTATATTCTTAACTTTATAATAAAATATTGTCACTTAAGATCACTTTCTATTTAAATGTAAATCAGATTTTGTTTAAACTCTTTTTATTATAGAGAAGTGCAAATTGGGTTTTAAATCGACCTAATTGTGTTGTTTAATTCAGCAAGATCATCTTTCAACTATTCAACAACAGAATTTGTCCCAGCTAAAACCGGGCTATAGTAAATATTTATTTTCCTTCTTATTTCTTCTAATTTAATAAAAAGATCAATACACATGGTTATGTGTTCATTGTGTTGTTATTTTTTTTTCCCCACAAATAAAAATAAGCAACATGAGCAAATTTGACCTCATACTTAAAATTTTGAGTCTCAAGTAATTTATCTTATGATGTTCATATCATTATTTATCTTATGATTTTTATATCATTATTTTTGTAATATTCATTTTAAAATACTAAAATATTAACAGAGATATTAGAGTGAACTAATCAAGTCAAATTTTTATAGACAGTCGGAACTTGTAGAGAGAATTAGAGTGTATATATTAGTATGTTTGATGTGGCACACTTCATGTTGACAAATAGATTCATTTCGTTTACAAGGCAAAAACATGATAATTTGGGTCAATTTGAAGACACAGATTTAATATAAAACCCTAAGAAAAAAATTTATTCTTTAGCTCCGAAATGCGAAAAAATATTCTCTAATGGTTTGCTTTGCCATTTAATTTAATTTAAATATGACCTATTAAGTCTGATTGATCAGGTGCAGTTTCTAAATTTGGATTGCTTTATTCTACAAAGTTGTGGCCATACGTTGAGTCTTTAGATTTGAGAATATTTCAAGTAATTAAACATGAAATTTGAATTAGAATCCCCTGAGAATGGAGAGTTATGGTATTGTGTTCATCACGTTGGGTTTTTGCCTGAAATAAACAAACAAACAAACAAACATCTCACTGCATGTGTTTGCCTATGATATTAGATCAATCTAACAAAGGGTTAAATATCTAACCTACTTATTCATTCTAAGTAAAGAATCAGCCTAAAGTCGAGCTAAACACATTTAATAAAAAGTTCAAATAAATTCTTTCCATATATAAATTAGTTACCATACAATAAGAGCGATGGCATGAAAAATTTCAACGACATTGTTCATCCATCTACCAAAAGTAGGTCCATCTAGGGTTCAAGTTCTCATAGATTGGCTCCTTGTGATGATGTACCTCAACCTATTTCTATCTAGGATTTGGATTTTGGAGGGGTAGATCAGTTTATAGTCCGGAGAAAAGTTGTTTATAGTTGTTATTTTCATGTTTTATAAATTTCACACAGGTTAAATTTCAACAACGGGTTCATCAAGAAAGGAGACTGATAAAAAACAGACCCCCAAGAAGCAAAAGATAGTCTCCACTGCGATACACTTGATGAAGAGTAAGAACCACATCAGCCCACAAGAATCTGAAGAAACTAGCGAAATTTCAACAGAAGTTACTCTTTCTCATCAAAGCAATTATAAGAAGCCAAGAACAAACTTACACCTTTCTTTCACTGACAAACAACACTCAAGTTCAACACAACTGAAGTTGTTTGATGACACTTGGCCAACTGCTAACATACCTGTGGCTAAAGAATACTTTGAGGGGGTCAGAAAGAAAAGAGAGATGGCAGACTCCGAGATTTCCATGATTAAATATTACAATCTTGAAGAGGAGGAAGAAGAGAGGCTGAAGGGTGTTTCAACCAAACTAAAACTTTACACTGATCCATGGAATATAAAGAAGAGGCTAACAAAGTGATATGGTCATCTTTGTAGGCTTTTGCTGCAAACAAGTCTGATGGAAAAGTATGTGTTGCTGTTCCTCAACAGGCATCAGATTAATGATGTTCAAAGCAAAGAGGGTTTCAGAGTGATGGTGTGGGATCAAGATACTCAATCCAGCACTCATTGATTATGAAGTAGTGGTCAACTTCAAAGAGCTAATTTTCATTGACGGATGGGCTCAGAAATTCATTAGTGACGAAACTTGAAGACAGGAGATGAAATTGGATTGTAATGGGATCCTAACAATTCAATCTTTAATTTTCAAGTTATTCAATGTGCGGCCTAAAATTTATATTTAACTTC